AAGGCTGGGAGCTTCTAAAAAAAGAAATTCTAAAGGCACAGCTTCAAACAAGAAAAAGGCACAACTACAACAAGAAAAAAAGAGGAAAGTCTCAAAAAAGGCCAGTGTGGCTTCACAAAAAGCTCAAACAGGACCTAAAAACCAAAAATGACATGTACAAGAACTAGAAAGAAGGCCAGACCACCAAAGATGAGTACAGACAAGTAGCAAGGAAATGCAGAGATGGCATTAGAAGGCCAAAAGCTGAGTATGAGCTGAGGTTAGTTAGAGACACTAAAAGCAATAAAAAACATTATTTAGCTATGTGAGTAGCAAAAGACAAATAAAAAGACATAGTGGCACAGCTCTGCAATGGAGATGGAAAATTGATAACAGAGGACAAAGAAAAGGCAGAGGTGCTCAATTCCTGTTTTAGTTCAGTCTTTCCCCATAAGACAGACTATGAACTTCCAAACAAATGGAAACTGCAAGTGGGGGTGGGGGACAGGATGCAACTGGAGATAGATAAACAAATCATCAAGGAATACCTTACCACCTTGAAATCTCCAGGGCCAGATGAATTATATCCGAGAGTACCGACAGAACTGGCTGAAGAACTCTCAGAACTGCTATCCATTATTTTCTTGAAATCATGGGAAACAGGTGAGGTGCCAGAGGATTGGAGGACAGCAAAAAAGAGGAACCTGGGAACTACAGGCCAGTCAGGCTCACATCAATCCCAGGCAAAAGTCTGGAACAGATCATAAAGCGGTCATTGTGCAAGTACCTACAGTAGAAAACAATGCAGTAGTAACTAGAAGACAACACTGATTTGTCAAGAATAAATCCTGCCAGACTAATTTGATCTCATTTTTTGATCAGGTCAGCTGTCTGATAGACAGGGGGAATGCTGTAGACATAGTATATCTTGACTTCAGCAAAGTTTTTGGCAAAGTGCCCCATGATATCCTGATTAGCAAACTAACTAGGTGTGGGCTGGATAGATCAAGTATCAGGTGGATACACAATTGGCTACAGAATCATACTTAGAGGGTGATGATTAATGGGTCCTTCTCTAACTGGGAGGAGGTAACTAGTGGGGAACCCCAAGGCTCAGTCCTCGGCCCAGTGCTCTTCAATATTTTTATTAATGACTTGGATGAGGGAGTGCAGGAAATGTTTGTCAAATTTGCAGATGATACCAAATTGGGCAGAATAGCTAATACCCTAGAAGATAGAAACAAAATTAAAAATGACCTTGATAGGATGGAGCACTGGGCTAAAGGCGACAGATTGAAATTCAACAGGATAAGTGTAAAGTACTGCACCTCAGAAAAAGAAACCAATTGCACAGCTACAAGATGGGGGATACCTGGCTCAGCAAAACAATGAGGGAGAAGGATCTTGGAATTATCGTAGATCACAAGCTAAATATGAGCCAACAGTGTGATATGGCTAAAAAAAGGCAAATGCTCTTTTAGGCTGCATTAATAGAAGTATCATTTCCAAATCTCGCGAGGTGCTAGTCCCCCTCTGTTCAGCACTGGTTAGGCTTCACCTTGTGTATTGTGTCCAGTTCTGGACACCACACTTCAAGAAGGATGCTACCAAATTCGAACAAGTTCAGAGGAGGGCGACAAGGATGATCAGGGGGCTGGAAACCAAGCCTTATGAGGAAAGGCTGAAAGAACTGGGTACGTTTAGCCTTAAGAAAAGAAGACTGAGGGGTGATATGATATCACTTTTCAAATATTTGAAAGGCTGTCATACAGAGAAGGGGCAGGATCTGTTCTTGATCATCCCAGAGTGCAGGACATGCAACAATTGGCTCAAGTTAAAGGAAGCCAGATTTCTGTTGAATATCAGGAAAAACTACCCAACTCTTAGAGCAGTGTGACAGTGGAAGTTGGTGAGTTCTCCAACACTGGAGGCATTCAAGAAAAACTTAGATAATCACCCCTCTCTTAGCGCCATTTGAGCTCAAGCTGGCTCTTGGTGTTGTTTATGTTATACTATGTCTATGTTTTAATTATGCACTAAAGGGAAGTAAGTAAGTAAGTAAGTAAGTAAGTAAGTAAGTAAGTAAGTAAGTAAATTAAATAAATATTACTGTTTGCAGTGTATTAGCAATATTCACATACGGATCAGTAAAACATGAGGATGGAGAGGTGCAAATGAATCAGTGGAACAAGGCAAGTGGGGCATGGTCCAATTCGGGAATAAATTTCTGAAATTTTACTAGTTAATATAGGATTCAGGAGTGGAACATGCAACAGAAAAACAATAGAAGAGAGAATGGGAGAAATTGTTTCACTTTTACTATGGTCTTCACTCTTTCATTAGTTGTATAGCTACCAGTTCACAACTCTTGGGTTTTGCATGGTTGGCCAGCAGGCAGATTTGTTCCTGTCATTATCTTCCATCAGATAGAGGATACTTGGCTGACCTTTCTTGAGTCCAGCATGTGACAATCCAACAAAAAATGACTTACAAGGTAAGATATCATCCTTTCTGTGAGAAGGAAACGTGTTTGAAACCAACATATGAATACGCAAATAAACAGGAAACTGAGCTATCAGTCTATCAGTCTGAAACCTAAGGTGATTGATTGCCATCTGGAACTAACTATACTATTGCTAGCTGCTGGGAATCTGTAATTTCACAGCTCCTGAAACACTGCTTACAGGATAATGGGTGGCAGGAATCGAAAAGAACAGAAGAGGTAATTGAATTTTTTTTTTATTTTTTTGGGGAACAATCTGGTTATCATAAAACTTATGCTTCTATGAAAAAAAATAAGTAAATTCAGTAATAATAGAGGTACCCATTCAATGAGCCAGAAATCTGAGATTTGCACTTACTGAAGAAAACAGAAATTGGAGCATGTTGAGTATGGAGGTATGATGCATTCGATGTTACATACAGTAGCATATTAAAAATATTCATATGATGCAAGCATGAAGCACAGTCTGAATTCAGCCAAGCAGATGTAATATTTCAGTTGCTGTAGCAGTATTTTGTGAGCAATCTGAACAGCTATATCTTCAAAGGGATGGCGCTCAGATCATGAGCTCCAACACCAATCTTCAATCACATTTATCGGCCATGCCCATATGATTGTGTATATAACTTGGGCTGGCTCATGTTTTGCTGTGTGATCAAGCAATATATAGTCCATCTGACTGAACTTCATCTCAGTGCACAACCAGCTGTGCTCTCCTCCACAGTGACTCAGGGGTGTGATGCATGTCTGTATCTTATCTTCTTTTGCTGGTTATTCATACAAATATTTGCTAATCTTCCTGAGCAAAGAAGCAAACACAATGTCTTTAACAAAGTTGAAATGTTTATTCATTTGCTTGATGCTCACTGGGGAAAAGTGCAGTAACATCTAAGTCTTCTAAAGCATTATGAAAGTACTTTGCATTGCCAACATGGTAAGAAGCGATTGAAATACTCCAGACTGTAGCTCTCATAAATCCTGACCAGCATTGTAGTCCAAGAACCTGGGTTACTCAAGGTTGGGAGCCACTGATCAGGACTTCTATGATGCACTTGAGGCTTCCATGTTGCGCTCACTTATATGGGAGTACATTCTATTATTTCTCTGCTATATCCACTAAGTTCAATACGTACAGCTGTTTCCACTATGGAGAAGACTATGTGTTGTATCTCTCTGCCCTGTTTTGTTAAAGTGGGTAAATCTGTCAAGGAAAAAAAATGGTAATCATAAATCGCAGCTCCTGGAATGGTTCAAGCCACAGGGAGTCAAAGCTATGTTTAAAGAGGAAACTGTTCAAAGCCCTTTGTCAATGTATTCATATCTCTAAGTTTTACTTTTTTTAAGGCTGTCAAGAGATTTCTTAAATTCTTTCCAATCAGTTTATGGAAAATGAGAGAATTTGAGAAAATCTTATTACAACCCAAAGCAAATGAAATTCTTACCCAACCTCAGAAATCAGTAGTATTAGACAAAATATCCATTTAAAAAGTATCCTAGCATCTTCTGTTAAAAAAAAGGCATAGTGGAACCAAGGTGTCACTTTTAATGTAGTTTTCCACAGTACTATCTCTGTTTTTACGTAACTCGTATGCAAGTAGCTGTTCATACTTATCTGCCCACCTCAACAAAGTACTGCATTTTTGGAATAGATAAAAACATAGGTTCTGTTTCAGGGTCAGTTCAAGCAATCAGTCGTTGAAATCTTAGGCAATATCCATTTTTCTTCATCTCTGTTTAAATAAAATGTTCCTGTTGAAAATCAATCTTTTTGTTACTGTCTTTCATTTGTAGATAAAGATAACAAGTCATGCATGAGATTAATGTATATTCATGAGTGGAATTATGGCTTTACATGAAAACTCTGCATTAGTGATTGGTAATCAACAGCTACTTTATTTTCTTAAAGTTAGCACAGATGCTAATCAAAGATAATTACAGTACTGTCATTTACAATGTTGATCACTCATTCTTCTGGGGGAAAGAACAAGCAGCACAATTTACACTTTTGAGGCAAGCAACACCAGAATGATGGAATAGCCATGGTTGCAATATTCTGGTGTTGTAATGTATTGTTGATAAATTTGGGGATATATAAACAATATTCCTGTCCAAAAAGGGCTCTGCTTTAAAAAAGTATATTCCATCTAGGACTGAACTCTGTCAGCATACAAAATGGCCTAATTTTCACCAGATGTGATGTAATATTTGACATTCATAGAGCACACATAAAAAAAAAACTAAGCAAGATTCACAGTCACTTGTGGAGAATTTGATGGTGAATCACTGGAAGAGGCAGAGTATTGTGGGAGTATGACTGTGAGTATTCAAAAAATCATGGAATTTCTGAAGAACTCTTTGAAAACATCTTTTAGCCTCATCAACTGAACAGTCAGGCATTCTTGTGATTTTCGTGGTGTTATTATCCCATATAATTCTGCTCATGACCATATCATAGGACATAAAGCAACAGCTCTGAGAAATGGATCTCATTGTTGGTTGGTTGGACAGAGCAGCCCTATGGAGTTTGAATGAGGGAGAAGACCTAGATTTATTCAGGTATGCAGAATGGGTTAGATCAACTTACAAAGAGAATGTGCTGCTAGCCATTAGCCTCTCCATCACTCTGCTCATGTGAAAACTAATGGTTCTGAAGAAGAGAATCTCTTCTATGCACTGATGGTCTCTGCATGGGTCAGAAACCTGGTAAAATCTGAGTTTTAGTTTGTGTGTATGCTAGGAAGAAGGTCTTCAGAACTATCATCATCAGCAAAATGATGATGGAGGGACAAAGTTCCAACGGTTCTCCCAACAGACACACCCCTGTTCTTGGAGTAGTAGCTGAAAAAGGTAACTTTCACCATCTATATTCCTAAGCCTCACCAAATTTGGGCCAGATATGGTAGAAACTGGGTTTGTGTTTCTAATCTTCCCCTCTTTCCTTTCCTTTGATCGCAATAGGGGGAGTTATTGATTACCGCAGTAAGTAAGTAAGTAACACAGTTTCTGTAGCTGGCACAGTTTCTGTCCCCTATACACAGATATTTCAGAGATGTTAACAATGCAGCTTGGGATCCTCCCTTGATCTTCTCCAGTACTTCTCCACCTCAACTCCTTTTCGCCTATTTTGCACCAAAAGAAAACTGACAGAAAGTGCAGCCATGACAAAAGACCATTTCACCACTGGTCTATAGAGGATATCTGCCAGTAGACATCTCTGTGGAGATTAAACAGTTAAAGAAGCATGATACATTGAATTAAAAAAAAATCAGTGACTTTGAAAAGTTCATGGGAAGTCGTATACATACCAAAAATGAGATGGCTGTTCTGTTAATATCTCTGCACTTTGAAGCTGTCACAAACTCAATGATACAAGGAAAAGCAACATTAGCAGCCATAAGCCAATTTAATACACCAAGAAATAATGACATATGAAGTATATGATATAAAATCTTAATACAGACATTCATGTAACATAAATTTTGCATATACTTAAATGAACCCAAGATACAAATGGTATTGAGTCTTTACCCCAGGGCATTATCCATTGCCATCTGCAGTAGTCCTAATATGAAGTTATTTTTTTCTATATTTCAGTTCATCTTAATTTATTTTCAAAATGAGCGATACAATATGGGGCTGATGGCTGCAGATTCTAAAGTGTTATTATTCTGCCTGTCTTTAATGAGAGTTAAGAGAGAACAGTGCCTCCAAAAATACATTTCCACTATGCAGAGTAGTCGGTTGCCAGTGGTCAGAGAATACAGGACAATAGATCCTGCTTATGAGACCATTGACCAATTCAGTCCTTTAAAGAGGCCAGAGCATTTTGCAATCTGCTGGAGGTTCAGATCATTCAGTCTGAGCCTCCAGCAGCCAAATGTCTCATAACAGTATAGTAAGAACATAAGAAGAATCCTGCTGGCTCAGGTCAGGGGCCCATCTGGTCCAGCTTCCTGTATCTCACAGTGGCCCCACCAGATGCATCTGGGAGCACATGAGACAACTAAATACCTGTCTTTTGAGACCCCCTTCCCTGCATCTGGTATTTTGAGGTGGTGGTGGTGTTGTTTAGTCGTTAAGTCATGATTTTGAGATACCTACTTTTTAAACCTGGAGACTATACATCCCCATCATGGCTTGTAAACAGTGATGGACTTTTCCTTCAGAAATCTGTCCAATCCCCTTTTAAAGGCATCTAGGTAAGATACCATCACCACATCCTGTGGCAAGGAGTTCCACAGACTAATAGGACTCATGACACTCATGAGACCAAGGAGGAAAAACGGCTACTTGGGCCCAATTTGGACATTGTCACTTAGGGGTGTACTCATTTTTGTTGTTAGCAGTTTAGACATCAATGGCTGTGTGTTGCGTTCTTTTGAGGGGACAGAACATTTACACTGTTATACAAGCTGTATACTCACTGCTTTACATTGTAGCCAAGTGTCATTTCTTCAGTGTTGTCACATGAAAAGATATACTAAAATATTTATGAAATGTGTGGTGGGGTACTCATTTCTGTGATCTACTGTAAAGTATATTGTAATATATATTTGTAAAGGTTTGAACATTTGTATGTACAGAATGCTAAAATAATTTTAAGGAATGTAAAAAAACGGAACCCTGGAAAATGTACATTGCACTTAAGAAAATAAGGTTTGAATAAGGATTTCTTTCATAACAAGCTAACACTCAAGTGTGGACATGTAAACGCTGACAAGATAAACCAAAAACTTAGAAAAAATTCTAGTCCATGAAACTCCGAGAGTACTGTGATACAGGTATAGCAGATTAGTACCCTTCCAGATTCACTCATCTGGCCACATGCAGCAGCAGCAACACAGAGGTAAAACAGACAAGATAATGGATTTTCTTCTACAGATGCAAACTGGCAAATGCCAATATTAAAGGGTAAAAATCACTCAAAGTTTTAATGCTTTTTATTTTTCAATGATGTGTTTTAGAGATGTACTCCCTGCTTTTGATTGTGCCTTTTAAGGCTATGAGCGTCTGTATTTTGAGGCTGAAATACGATTTAAGTTCTAGTTTGTAACCTTTATAGCTAAAAGCTTGTAGTTAAAATGTGTTTTCCTGACTTTTTGCCTGCAACTGAAGTTCAGTCCTCATTTGCACCTACTGCTTTTTATTGCTTTCATTGCTGTAAGTTTAATTTCTGTATATATGAAGTCACATTCCGGCAACAGAAGTGACATGTTTTTTAAAACTTTGATTTGTTTTTTGTTTTTTAATTAAAGATTGGCACAAACTGCAGTTCAGCAGTTCAGACAGTTTGGTGTTGCGCCCACACAGGTGTTTGGTGGGTGCGTTGCGCTTGCCTCCTGCTTCCTCTGGGTGATTGTCCACTCACCAGCAGCAGTGCGCTTCCCTCCCTGACGTCCTCTGGACAATTGCCCACTCATTATCAGCAGCATGCTTCTTTCCTCTGTCTCCTCTGAGTGATCACCCATGCTTTCCCAAGGAGGGAATCCTATGGTGCTGCTGCTAAGTGCAGCACCAAACTGGGTCAAACCACTGAATGCCCATCTCTATTTTTCATGCTTGTGGAACACAGAAACAATGCAGACTAAATGGAGTTTGTACGATTAGCCAAGCTGATGCTGTGAATTGAATGTCTAGAAAAACTTACTTCACCATGAATAAAACAATAAATATACTTATACCTTGATACCCAGAGGAACATTGACATGATTGGAAAAGATTATCTGATTTCACATTGGAATTAACCCTTCCAGAGATAAATGTCAGCTGTGATGGACCACTACAGACTCAAACTACCAAAGAATGTTAGAGTTTTATTGTGTTCTGAGGTCATTGTCTGATATTCTTATTGCCCAGAAACTTCATCTCCAAAATAAATTCTAATTCTAGTAATGAACTAGAACATGTTCAGATACATGTTCCCAACTCTGAATTCTCCAAGTCTGAATGACTGAAATATTGTAGCTTTCTACATTTTGTCATGTCTCAGTCTTTATGTGTTCATTTCATTACTTCTTTACTGGTTATCCTCTAGCTGCAGCTTTTTCATGGAAGGGTAACTACTGGATCGTTTGTATCCCAAGAAGAACAATATTAAACAGCAAAGGACCTCACAAGACACATTAATAAATGCAAAATGAATATACTTTATTATCTATTGATTACAATTCTAAATAAAGGGGTTTCATGCATTCAGCACATTCACACCACATACATACTCACCAAAGAGAGAATTCTTTATCAGCATTGTCCAAGTTCCAAAGAAAGTAGCTAGTTCCAAAAGCCTTTTGGTCTCAGCAGTGGTTAAACTGCTGTACTGCAGCCAAAACTCTGCTCACAACCTGCGGTTCAATCCCAGGTAGCGGCTCAAGGTTGACTCAGCCTTCTATCCTTCCGAGGTCGGTAAAATGAGTACCCAGCTCACTGGGGGGGGGGGCAATGTGTAGCCTGCATAATTAACTTGTAAACCGCCCAGAGAGGGCTTGAAGTGCTATGGAGCGGTATATAAGCAGCACGCTTTGCTTTGCTTTGATTTTTCCTTTGCTTTCCACCTCTTATTGCTATGTTTATTGTAATGGCACACTCATATCGAAGTCCAACTAGTATCTTTTTTCTTTGGCTTCCAGTTGGTATTGACATGACTGCTGCCCAAGTTCAGGTGAGATCATGGAGATTTCCTCAAGGCTCTATGATCTTCCTGGTCGCCTGTGGTTTTTCCAGGTATCAGGTTAATCAACTGCTGCCTTGTGAATAATGGTGGCAGCTTTATTGGTGGCATTCCATTCCCCATCTCTGGGCTTAGTTCACACAGTGCTTTGGGGGAGGAGAGAGAGGCAAAATTTGTTAGTTTTCAAAATGATGAAGTTCCTGATCTGCTATTTTTCGTTGTTGTTGTTGTTGTTGTTGTTGTTGTTGTTGTTGTTGTTGTTGTTGTTGTTGTTGTTGTTGTTGTTGTTGTTCTGTCAGCATGAGCTCAGTCTCTCGGTGTCATTGCCACAATTTGCTACAAATTCAGTATCGTGGATGTTTTTTGTCTGTTAGAAAATGGTAATGCAAGTGCTTGGGAACATCCAACCAGATACAAGCCTGGTATTTGACTCATCAGTCTGGAACATTCTGTTGTTGTTGTTTGTTGTTTAGTCATGTCTGACTCTTCGTGACCCCATGGACCAGAGCACGCCAGGTCGTCCTGTCTTCCACTGCCTCCCGGAGCTGGGCCAAATTCATGTTGGTCGCTTCGATGACATTTCCAACCATCTCGTCTTCTGTCGTCCCCTTCTCCTCTTGTCTTCACACTTTCCCAACATCAGGGGCTTTTCCAGGGAGATTTCTCTTCTCATCAGATGGCCAATGTATTGGAGCCTCAGCTTCAGGATCTGTCCTTCCAGTGAGCACTCAGGGTTGATTTCCTTTAGAATGGATAGGTTTGTTCTCCTCGCAGTCCAGGGGACTCTCAAGAGTCTCATCCAGTACCACAATTCAAAAGCATTAATTCTTCTCATACATCACTACTGGGAAAACCGTAGCTTTGACTATGCGGACCTTTGTTGGCAAGGTGATGTCTCTGCTTTTTAAGATGCTGTTTAGCTTTGTCATCGCTTTCCTCCCAAGAAGCAGGCATCTTTTAATTTCGGGGCTGCTGTCACCATCTGCAGTGATCATGGAGCCCAAGAAAGTAAAATCTGTCACTGCCTCCATATCTTCCCCTTCTATTTCCCAGGAGGTGATGGGACCAGTTGCCGTGATCTTAGTTTTTTTGATGTTGAGCTTCAGACCATTTTTGAGCTCTCCTCTTTCACCCTCATTACAAGGTTCCTTAATTCCTCCTCACTTTCTGCCATCAGAGTGGTATCATCTGCATATTTGAGGTTGTTGATATTTCTTCCGGCAATCTTAAATCTGGCTTGGGATTCCTCCAGTCTGGCCTTTCGCATGATGTATTCTGCATATAGGTTAAATAAACCAGGGGACAATATACAGCCTTGTTGTACTCCTTTCCCAATTTTGAACCAATCAATGTTTCCATATCCAGTTCTAACTGTTGCTTCCTGTCCCACGTATAGTTTTCTCAGGA